TCCTTGGCAGCCAGTTTGTGACCTCTGCCCCCACCATTCTCTACAGTGAAAACAAGACAGGCTTTAAGGACAGTTTGCTTCCTTCTGGGGGACTGATAACAGGTTGATGCACCTTTGATGATCCTTGTCAGAAGTCACCCCACCAGAGCTCACCTGCCGTACTTGGCCTAGAGGCCTGCTGCTGGTCAGCAGGCATGTGAGATGGCTCCTGAGCACTCATGAACTGTGGTTTCTTATCAAAGTGTGACAAGCTTAGTAAATACACTCTTCTGTCACCTCTTCCTGCTGTACAGAGCAAGCATTTCTTTAAGTGTGTCAGACCATATCACCTTAGATAAAAGTTGACCAACCCTAAACTTTTCTCCCTGACTCAGCTTCCTTTTTTTGTTGTTGTTGTTAGGGAAACAAAACATTAAGCTCATAAGAAGTGTGTCCAGCTTCCAATCATTTACCAAATACAAATGCTTCCGCCTACATTATGATGCTTCCTTCATTTTGTACAAACAGAGGACATCTTGTGAAACGCAAAGCATGCTAATTTCCCCCCAATGGAAGATGAGATGGGCTCAAAAGGAACAGGCTCCACTTCCAGCTCCGGGCATATGACCCCAGCCTAGCCAATCACTGAGTTGAATTCCTCTGGCCATTCCAGCATTTTAAAAAAATCATACACACACACACACACACACACACACACACACACACACACCAACACAGGTCAACAACACATGTAGAGCTTATTCTATGCCATGTACTTGCAAAATCCATAATTCCTAATATTTTCTGGATGGCATCCTCTTTAACAAAGACATAATTTGCAACCAGACTGGGTAAAGATAGACAGCCATTACTTTCTTAATGGCCAACTCCCCGAAAAGGCTCAGTTAAGTGATCTCAACTAGCAATATAATCAATTAAAATTGATAAGTGAAATACTTTTAACCTTTATTTCAGCAGGCCATTCTTGGCGGGAGAGGGAGGAAATGTGAGTTCCCAGCATAAAATTTAATTCCATTTTCAAATAGAATACAGTAGCCCCCTTTAAAGCAAGCTGTTTCCCTTTCTTTCTTTGAATCAAATCAGAAAAAGACTGGTTTGTAGTTTTCTAGAAAACTTGATCAATTTAAACCCTTTCAGAACCCACTATGGCCATTTCTCAAAAATGAAAAGCCAAAGGAGATGGGCATAGAGCACAGAGGGAACATAGCTTCTTTGTTCTTCCAAGAAAAAAAAGAACATAAAGAGGCATAAAAAGAAGCTAGACAGCCAGGTAAACTCATAATAACCACTTACTCTGCTCTTCATATGCTTCACCTCATTTAATTCACGAGTGATACTGACAACAATTTCCTGAGAATAGCTATATGCTAGACACATTTGGTCAAGTCACATTTCTTTTTTTTTTTTTTTTTAATCCTCATCAGAGGATTTTTTTTTCATTGCTTTTCAGATAAAGTGGAAGTGAGGGGGAGAAAGAAACATCGATGTGAGAGAGCAATACAGGTATGTGCCCTTGACTGGGAATCGAACCCAAGACCCTTCAGTGTGAGGGTTGATGCTCTAACCACTGAGTCCACCAGCCAGGGCTCAAGTTACATTTCACTCAAGTGTCAAAACAGCCCCAAATATAAAGAAGGTCATCTCCATTTTCTAGGCGAGAAAACAGATACTGTGAGGGTTTCAGTCATTTGCTCAAGGGCAGGAGTATTTGGCTTGAAAGCCAACCCTCAGTGGTCTATATCATGATCGCTGGTCACACAATTGAATCGTTTTGTCAAAACTAATTCAATTGTACACTAAACTTGGTGAATTTTATTGGCTGTAAATTATATTTCATAAAGCTGATTTAAAACAAGGACCCCTCTCCTCATACTACACAACAAAGAATGGCATTTGCTGTTCCTGCTTGCTCAGGTTCCATTTCTTCTTTACAAGTTTCCCATGAGGGCTCTTTCCTTCCTCTCTCAAGTGATGGGGCTCAAAAGGAACAGGCTCCACTTCCAACTCCAGGCATATGACCGAGCCTAGCCAATCACTGAGTTGAATTCCTCTGACCAGGGGTCCTCAAACTTTTTAAACAGGGGGCCAATTCACTGTCCCTCAGACTGTTGGAGGGCCGGACTATAGTTTAAAAAAAAACCTATGCCCTGGCCAGTGTGGCTCGGTGGATAGAGTGTCGGCCTACGGACTGAAGGGTCCCGGGTTCAATTCCTGGTCAAGGGCATGTACCTAGGATGTGGGCTCCATCCCCAGTGTGGGGCGTGCAAGAGGCAGCCGATCCATGATTCTCTCATCATTGATGTTTCTCTCTCTCTTTCTCCTCCCTTCCTCTCTGAAGAAATCAATAAAATATATATGTTTAAAAAAAAATAAAAAAATAAAAAAAAACCTATGAACAAATTCCTATGCACACTGCACATATCTTATTTTGAAGTAAAAAAACAAACCGGGAACAAATACAATATTTGTATTTGCATGTGGCCCGCGGGCCGTAGTTTGAGGACCCCTGCCTCTGACCATTGACTGGTTCGAGGATGGTCATATGACCCACGTTGGGCCAATGAGAACACTGCCCCGGACTTCCATAAAAGGGAAAGAGTAGCTCTGTTTCTGTCAGGGCTGCTTAGCTGCTTCAACAGATCTTGGAGCTGCTGATGGCCACTGGTCACTACTTGGTGAGAGCCCTCCTGAGGATGAATCCAGAACAGAGGAAAGCAGAGCTGAGAGATGCAGGGTAGTAGCTTCCTGATGATACTGCTTGAGCACCTAGATCCAGCCATCCCCGAAGGCAGCTAATCCTGGACTTTCTAGTGACACCAGCCAATTCCCCTTGCTTTTTCCTTAAGCAAGCCTATGTTAGGTTTTCTGTCCATTATAATTAAAGAGTCCTAATATACTACAATGCCTTTAAGAATCAGAAAACCACCTTGTCTGCTCCCTAGCAAATCAAGGAAAGAGAGAGCTATGTAGACACATGAGGAGGGTTATGGTAAAATGATCAGGCTTTATACCTTTTGTCTCCTTTAAATCTCAGCCTCATGCTGCAGTGTATTAAATAAATAGTCCAAGGATTCAGGTTGAGCACAGTTTTCTGGCCTCCAAAGCTTTTATTCATGTCTACCTAAATACTGGTGATTTGCTTCCTTTTGTTTTTTAATCTTCACCCAAGGATATGTTTGAGGGTGTGGGGGGTAGGAGAGAGAGAAAGACATTGATTGGTTGCCTCCCATATGCATGCCCCAACTGGGGATTGAACCTGCAAACCAGGTATGTGCCCTGACCAGAAATTGAACTGTAACCTTTTGGTGTACGGGCTGATGCTACAATCAACTGAGTCAGGCTGTGATTTGCATTTTTGAAAGCCCCCCTTTTTTTTTAAGCAGCAGAACCCTTTAATAATTGGATTCATACAGAAAACCCTTAATAGACACAACCAATCAAACTGATGCTGCTATGATTGCATGGAGGACGGAGATCCTGGAGCTTGTGGATCCCCAAAGCCCTGGCACAGATCTTTTAGTAAACCACCTGCACAGCTCCGCCTGGTCTCCAGAGAGCAGAACCCGCAAGCCCAGAATCAAAGTGCCTAGAATCTGGGTCCCCTTCTTCAAAAGTTTTATGGGACATGCACACTCTATTACCAAGGTCACACATCAACACCAGTACAAAATGCAGGTCACACACCGACCCTTCCAGTGACGTGTGAGTCAGCACCACAGTGTCCCCCCTGCTGTGACTCAGAGGCCAACTCACTGAGATCTAGGACGTCATCGGTTTTAATCAGATCTTCCTCCCGAGTCAGTGGCAACTGGGTCTCCGGCTCCCCTCGTAGTTGCAGTGACAGCGAACGGAGCATGAAGAATACCCGGATGGCCTGAATGGACAGTGCAGAGACAGAGAAAGGTGAGATTGCAGTCATTTTGGTGAAATGCTTCGCATGGAGAACTCACACTGACATTTGATTAAAAACAAACAAAACAAAGTCTGCCTCTCCCCCCGTCCCAGTATCATGGCTCTGGTGCTTTCAGGGCAAGACAAAAACCAAAAAACTGCGAAGGGCACAGCCTCTTTCAGTTATCCATATCCACGGGTTCAGGCGTGGGCCACTTTCCCTCAACTGAGCACCTGTCATTTGCCAGGACATTTAGCCTCGTGTCATGTGACCTTGATGACACCCAAGGAGGTGACATGATCTGCCTGGGCACACATCTAGAGAGGGCTAGAACCAGGCCTCTTTCAACTAAACCAGCACGGAATTTGGAAATCCAAATCATGAGAGAAAGTATTTCAAGGTCCCACCGACTGAATGTAGGGGCAGGGGCGGCAGAAGAGAGGCGATGCTTGTGGGGCTCAGAGCCAGCGAGACCCCATTAAAACCCTGCCCCGCCCTGGATGAGCCCCTTCACCTCGGAGCCTTGGTCTCTTGGCCTTCCACCAGGGTATGTTACTGATGGGGCAGCACACCTGGCACCTGGCAGGTGTTCAGTGATGTTAGTGCCCTGAGCCTCCCCTGCCAGCTCTCTGGGGGCAGAGGCAGCTCCATTAGCGCTGGGATTCTTGGCCCCTGGAAGAGGCGTCTGGAAGAATCCTGTGTGGTCATTAGGCATTTCCAGAGAGCAGGAAAACAGCAGAAGCCCAGGCCCCGGAAGCCAGAGAAGTTTGTGCAGAAAGCAGCCTTCACCTCGGGCCTGCTTGCTCCCTTTGAGTCTTAAGTTGGGGCTGACTTGCCCACCAACTGGAGGCCAGGAAGCAGAAGGGCAGCCCACAGGAGAGGCCTCCTCCAGACCACTGTCCCTGACTTTAGCTGATGGCCACAGGTAAACAGCTCTGGAGTCAGGCATATGAGATCTGTGTTGGACTCCCAGCTGTGCCACACTGGGTAAGGCCTCTGAACTCCGTGAGTTTCAATGTCCTCATCTGTGAAATGGGGATGGTAGTCCCCACCTCGCTGGGCTGCTAGAAGGTTCTAAGATAAAGCTGGGGGATGGGCAGGAAGCAGCCAGCATGTGTTCTGTAAAGGGGCAGCTATCCTTTACTCCAGTCACTCGCCAGCTGGGCACGGGGGCGGGCATGGGACAAACCACTGTCGCCACTGGTGAGCCACACGAAAATGAATCCCAGCCCACTTTTGGGTCTTCTTGTTTACAGTTCTGAGGACTACAGGCTTGGCCTACTGAGAGAAGAGGCTGCCCTTTATATGACAAGGTGTCTCCCAAAACCGGGACTCCTGATAATCCAGGCAGTAAAGATGCCCCACGGCAGGCCTAACACTAATCCTGCCTTGGCCTGGAACCAGCAGGAGACCTTGGGCCAATCACTTAATCTAATGTAGAAAACTAGAATAATCCTACTTCCTGGACCTACTGTCAACCATGAGCCCTAGAGAAAAATAAGCTTTTATATTATAACTTAGAAGCCCGATGCACAAAATTTGTGCAAGAGTAGGCCTTCCTTCCCCCTCTTGCCGGCACCGGCTTCCCTCTGGCACCCGGGACCCAGGTTTCCCTCCAGCTGCTGGCAGCCACCTGGGGCCCAGGCTTCCCTCCGGCCACTGGCAGGCACCCAGGACCTGGGCTTCCCTCGCAGCCCCGCTTCGTCCGGAAGGTCGTCCGGAAGGACGTCCAGTCTAATTAGCATATTATGCTTTTATTATTATAGATGGTGATGGTGGTGGCATTAGTACTGATCTGAGTTTTTAAAGTACAATCTTCCTAAAGACATCTGCAACAGTAAGAAGAGGTATACTTTCATTTAAAAAAAATCAAAATAGCTTTTATTCATAATGCTCCTATTGTGTGCCAGGCAATGTGGATACTTGCCTGCAATGTAAAGATTTTATTCAGGAAGAAACATCGTGGAGGGGCAGAGAAATCTAAGTTTACGCAGCTGCTGAGTGGCTGAGCTGGGGTTGAACTCAGGAATGTGTGACACTTGTGTCACTTAACCAAGCACATGAGGAGAAGACGTTCCAATGCTCACGGCAGCCCAAGTGCAGAAAGCCCAAGATGTGGGTGGGCACCTAACCTATGTGGCAGTTTGAGAAAATAGGGAGTCATGGCCTTGAGATGAGGGAAAAAGAAAGAAAAAGGCCCATGGCGGTCAGGTCTGAGTTATGTGGATGCTTCATTTCACTGCCAACAACCCATTCCTCTTGGGGTTCTGAAGGCAGAGAAATCAAGAGGACCCTGGATGGGGATGAGGAAAGACAAATGTGTGCAACTTACATCCATCACTCTGAAAACCAGAGCCTTCCAGTGTAAAAGGGGTTTGAAACTTGGCCCCTAATGTGGACCTTTTTGGTAAAACATCTGCTTTTGCTCTTCAAGCAACAGATGGAAGATAGTTCCAGGAATACAAAATAATAATAAAATAATAAAAATATGAAGCATATATAAAGCAGAACCCACAATAATATTATTCCTGGTTCCTGCCTCAACTGCTAAGAGCAGGAAGAATGCATGAGAAGCCCACGCCCACGAACGTGAGAGGGGGCAGGTTCCCACAAGGCCCGGTGCTCCACTTGGGGGAAAGCTAGGTTCCATTGGGGCTACTGGGTCTGGCAGGCACTTGACCAGCAACACAACTCCCATGAATTCACAAAAGTTAAGACACCAGGAGAAGACATCAAATTCATCCCACCACCCCCTAAAACAATACCCATGCCCTCTGCTACCCACCGCCTGCCAGGTACAGGAGGGCACTATACTGTCATCTCATTCTAGCCTTTTAAGGACCTGCTTGTTTCTCATTGTACAGATAGGAAACTACAGCCCAGAGATGTTAGGCAGCCTACTCAAGGTGACTCAATTAACAATCAGACTCCCAAAGTCTACGTTCTTCCAACCACATTGTCTTTAATAGATTTAAGCTTGGGATCCAGCTTTAAGCTTTTACTGAGTACTTTACTTTGCTAAATACACATGCAAATTTAAAAATAATACTAAAAAAGAATTATTCTTTGAGGTGCTTCCACAGAATGCCAGGAAGACTGACTCTGGAAGAGCAGACTAAATTTGGGAAGGGTGACAGCTGATTAAACTCAGATATAAAGAACTCCTCCAGTTTGCTTCAATGCATGGGGAGCAAACTCTGGCAAGGAGAGTCCTGGGATGAGTTCAGTGAGTGGGGCAGAAGGATGGGTTCAGTCAGACAAACCTCGACTCAACCTGGGGTCAGGCAAGTAGCATGAATTCCCCAAGCCCAGGCTCAAGCTCTGGAAATGGGGACCCACCACCCCTGAGGTCATGGGGCCACTACAAACATGCAATGACAAAGTGCAGGTGACACACTGAGCCCTGGGGCTGGTCCTGGATCGAAGGCTCTGCTGGAGCCCTTCCCCTGCTTCCCTTGCTGCATTTGCAAGCTGCTGAGTTTAGGCGACAGTCACTCAGGTTAGCAGCCCACCAAGACCGTGGACGTGGCTGTGAAAGTCAGTCATTCTTAAGAGTGCTGGAGCCGTTTAAAGTGGGCACAGCCGATTGGGAAAGCAATCTGGAAATATGTAGAGAGTCACACACACAAAAATATTCATACCCTTTGAACCAGAAATTCCACTTCTGGGAACTTATCCTAAAGAAATAAGCCAAAAGAAAGAAAACACTGTGAAGCTGCTCATTACAGTTCAGTTGAAAATAATGTAATACTGCAAGCAACCAAAATGTCTACCAACAGGAAAATGCCTAAGTAAATTATGGCAGAAGCCACCAGATAGACTTTTATGCACCAGTAAGAAAGTAGACTTATTAAAGTTGTATTACCACATGACAAACTTCTTGCTCTACAAAGGAAAGAGAAAGGGGTGTGAGGATAAAAGCAAGGTCATGGCACACTCTCCCTGAAAGCATGTTAAGATGTGTTTGCAAAGATAGGGAGGAGACAAAAAAATGTCTAAGTGTTGATTGTTTAGGGTGATGAAATCATGGGAAATTTTTCGCTCTACTTTTGAAACTTTATGAGGTGCTACTGTATTTTTTTTTAATGCATAATACATATCCAAGGAGTAAAGCAAAATATCCTATTTCCTCAAGGCCAGTAGCGATAAACAAAAATTGTTTGTGGTTTTACATGAGAACGGGGAAATAGAATGCAGGGACAAATAAAACTTTATGCAAATAATTTATTTCATAATGGTTTCCAAGATTACTAACATAAAGATGGCTAGTGGCTTACATTCAGAGTTTGATATCCACCAAAAAATTCTCTCCCAACCTCTTTTCCTTAGCATTAAACTTCGGTAGATTTAGATCAGTAAAGACTATTTCTTTCCCACCTAAGATGCTGGAATGCTCCACCAATGTTCAGCCAACATTTCCTAAGTACTTACTGCCTGCTAGGCACTGGGCTCTGTCACCTCACAGTCACTCTCTCATCTACTTTGAGCAAGAGCTGATAGGACACACAAGGAAGTTCAAGCACAGAGAGGTTAAGTAACTTGCTCGAGGTCACACAGCTAGAGTTGGGGTTGACTGGGAGCTTTCTCTCAAATATCCCTGCACAGGGGGAAGTCCAGCCCGAGTCTGAGGTTCTGCTTTCATGTTCTCATCAGACCCCAGTAGTTCTTGTGACCCTCATTTCAACATGAATTTCCCTTCTTAGCTGTCATGACCAAGCGACATTCTTGCTATTTTGATCTTTCTTATATTATTTGTTCACTCTCTAGTCTTACATCTTAGAGTGCCTAGCACCTAGAAAATGCTTAATAAAGATGTCAAATGAAAGAATAAATAGTGTAATTTGCAAAATGCATGAGGGAAAATATGACTTTATTGCCAGGTGTCTCTCCATGGCCTGCGAGTCCCAGCACCCCTCCTCTCGTGACCCCTCCCCCCCTCCTGACCCTTCACTCACTCTGCTCCAGTTACCCTGCTCCTTGAGCACGCTGTGTTCTGCCCCAGCAGGAACTTTGCACTCACTGTTGCCTTCATCTGGAAAGTGCCTCCTTTAAGTCTTTGCATGGCTGCCTCCTTCTCGCTCTTCAGTTTCAGCTCAGGTCTCAACCTTGGCGGAGGAGCCTTCCTCCTACGATACATCTCTATATATCTAAAGTAGTGCCAGCCCCCTTTCCTGCAGAGGGACAACACACTTGTCATTCGTTTACTTGCTAATAAACTTTACCTCTCCCGATTTCATGGGAGGTTCAGAAGGCAGCGACATTTTCCCTGGTCCCCAGCATTTGGCACAGGAATCTGGTGGTTCTTTGATGAATGTATGAAGGAATAGTTTACAAGTTAGCAATGATTTACTAGTCCGGTTGTTTGAACTTCTCTCACAAGTCCCTAAGGAAACTAAAGGGTGGAATTTCTGAAAGGCTCAGCCTCCTAGAGTTAGAAAAGTCTAGTTAGTAGGAAGAAAAAAAAAGCCTTTGAATCCAAAAGATGAAATGGAATGTTCTTTGGATACAAGCAAAGAACTTGAAACAAACCACATAAGCCTTCAATTGCTTGCTAAACCATACACTTCCTTAAGTTCAAATTCAAAGCACACTGCTGTGCTCTCATGTCTGAAACGGGCTGAGAAGCCAAGCTTCTGGAGGATTCCAAATAGCTACCTTGCAACAGGAACTGGACTGAGGTGAGTGGTGGAATCTCCCCTTCAGAAACTGATTCTTCACTATATTGTCCACCTGAAACTAATATAATATTGTATGCCAACTATACGTAGACTAAAAACATAAAGAAATTGATTCTTGAAGTCAACAAGGGAAGCTTCTCTTAGGTGGATGGCTGTGCTAGCAGGTGGCCAACCCTATTTTAATATCAACCTTCTCCCTGGCTCTAAATCCATGGGCCCTGGATTTGCTTTTATAAACTTGTCAGATAGACAAAGGCTGACCAAAGGTCCTAGGGAAGCCCAGATGTTCCCAGAGGTTCTGTCCATGCTTCAGTTATTAGTTAGGACTATGCAACACATCTGGGGCAAGGGAGGTGGGCAGCACAGCCCCAGGAACTTGCAGCTAAGTGAGCTGTGAAGGGCAACGAGAAGAAGCAAACCCCTGTCATCAGGAACTGCCACTGGCTTCCAGTGTTTCTGCCTCTCACTGAGTCCTCACAACTTTGGCAAGGCGGGCACATGTTGCTTTCTAGATAGAGAGAGAGTGGCTTACAAGATAGCAGGAATCCCAAAGCCCAGGCAACCCTTCCTCTGCCATATGCCTCACCGTTGAGTTTCTCCCATTCTCTCCTGTGGATCAGGACTGTCTGCGCTAAGCCAGCAGAGCATGGTGTCAGAAATCTGCTAACAGGGCCAAGGGCTTCGCTGGGCTCCAAGGCCCCCGAGATCTGGTTCCTCCAGCCCCTCGACTCATCACTTCCTATGTAGCCTCCCTCACTCTGGCTCCAGCCACAGTCCCTCCTTGGTGCTGCCTCTTCCCACCTCACCCTCTAGACCAGCCGTGGGCAAACTACGGCCCGTGGGCCAGATCCCGCCCGTTTGAAATGAATAAAACTAAAAAAAAAAAAAAAAAAAAAAAGACCGTGCCCTTTTATGTAATGATGTTTACTTTGAATTTATATTAGTTCACACAAACACTCCATCCATGCTTTTGTTCCGGCCCTCCGGTCCAGTTTAAGAACCCATTGTGGCCCTCGAGTCAAAAAGTTTGCCCACCCCTGCTCTAGACTCTGAAGACTGGGGCTGTGTTTCTTATATCCCTGGTGTCCAGTGATGAGTAGCACTAATATATACAATGAAGGGAGCAGTGAGGAGCAACGAGTCAGAGTGGCTCTGAGGCCACTCCAACTGAGCTGAATCCTGGCTCTGCTACTTTTTAAAAATATATTTTTACTGGAGGCCCGGTGCATGAAATTCATGCACAGGAGGTGGGGGAAGGGTCCCTCAGCCCGGCCTGCACCCACTCTAATCTGGGATCCCTCTTGCAATCCGATCCTAACCGCTCTTCTGCCTGCCTGCCTGCCTGATGGCCCTAACTGCTCTCCCCTGCTGGCCTGATCTCCCTAACTGCTCTCCCCCTCCTGGCCTGATCTCCCTAACTGCCTAACTACTTCCCCCTGCTGGCCTGATCCCCCTAACTGCCTATCTGCTCTCTGCTGCCGGCCAGATTCCCCCTAAACGCCTACCTGCTATCCCTTCCTGGCCTGATCGCCCTAACTGCCTATCTGCTCTCCCCTCCTGGCCTGATCGCCCTAACTGCCTATCTGTGCTCCCCTCCTGGCCTGATCCCCCTAACTGCCTATCTTCTCTCCTCTCCTGGCCTGATCACCCTAACCACCTATTTGCTCTCCCTTCCTGGCCTGATCGCCCTAACTGCCTATCTGTGCTCCCCTCCTTACATGATTGCCTTGCCTATCTGCTCCCCCCTCCTGGCCTGATCGTCCTAACTGCCTATCTGCTCTCCCTTCCTGACCTGATCGCCCTAACTGCCTATCTGCTCTCCCCTCCTTGCATGATCACCCTAACTGCCTATCTGCTCTCCCCACCTGGCCTGATCCCCCTAACTGCCTATCTGCTCTCCCTTCCTCTCCACACCCTTTGGACTCCCGGTGCAGGCGTGCTGAGAGCTCTCTGCCACGGCCCCACCCCGGTCCTGATTGGTTGTTATGTGACAGCATCCCGGCCAATTTGTATATTCCTCTATTATTAGTATAAATTGATTTCAGAGAGGAAGGGAGAGGGAGAGATAGAAACATTAATGATGAGAGAGAATCACTGAATGGCTGCCTCCTGCACACCTCCCACTGGGGGTCAAGTCCGAAACTGGGAAATGTGCCCTGACTAGGAATTGAACCATAACCTCCTGGTTCATAGGCCAATGCTCAACCACTGAGCCACATCAGCTGAGCCTGGCTCTGCTACTTAATAGCTGGGTGACCTTGAGCAAATCACTTGACCTCTTCGTGCCCCCGTTTCTTCCTCAGTAGAGGTGGGAATAATAGTAATGACAACCTCTTAGGACAGTTGTAGAATTATGTGAGAAAATCCATTTAAAGAACTGCTATGAACAATCCACTTTATAATAAAGAGTGGGAGCTCGTGTAAGTGTTAACAAAGCCTGATGGACCATGTCCCAGAAAGGAGGCAGGACGCAACCCAGAGTGGCAGCTCTCAGCATTCACAGCCTTCTGGACCTTCTGGTTCAAAAGACTAGGGAACCTCAGAGACATGCAGCCCATTCAGGGGGTTCAGCTTCACTGTAACCTTGCTGGGGAGCACCTGACCAACCCAAGGCTAAGGGCGAGCATGCCTGCACCATGAAGGAGTCACTGATATGACTCACACCTGTCAGAACCAGTCTCTTGTAAAAGCCAATGCCAAGAATGCCCAGTGCAAACACCACCACCCACAAACACAATCGTGTGCCCGCCGCAGGGCCTGCAGCGCTGGCTGGGAGCACACGGAAGGAAGGCGTCACTGGCTCGGACAGGGCGTGTTCTGTGGTGAGGCCTGTGGGTTTGGTCAGGCAGCAAGGAACGTGGATTGACTTAAGACACATGGGTCCCACTTCCTCTGCCCCGCCCCCCAGGCCTCTGTGGCAAAATTGCCAGCTGGGTGGAGGAAGGCCACAGAACCCTCTGGTCTGAGGCAGATCTAGCAGGTCCCTCCTGCTTCTCATAATCCAAAACTTAAACACCTCAGCTGCTCTGGTTACAAGCGGATTAACTCAGAGGTACAGGCTGATAACGAGAGTTGAGTGCAATGAATTCCACTAATTTATCCACTAGCATTCACGTCTCCAGGGAATGATTTTCTAGGAAAAGGTTATGGTGCTTTCTAAGAAAGAAAGTGTAATCTTACGAGGGAGATAAAATACCATGAACAGCCCCATGAGACTGCTTCAGAAAAAAACGCTGATAACGGAAACACACACTCCAGCTGGGTTCTGAGAACTAGTCCACCCTTCACACAGGTCTCTCCCGCAGGCCGGCAAGAACCACCATTTCCATTGTGCCTCACCCCGAGATCACTCAGATACCTTAACATCACACCATCCTGGGGGGTCCTGAGCCTCGCTGGGCTGATTCCACGCCAGCCCCATCTGCACTGTGTTGGCTCTGCTCACTCCCCCACGTCCTGTGCAGACCTGGCCCCTGGCTTCCTCTTCCAAGCTCAGGGAGGGCCTGCACCAGCGAAGGCAGCCTGCCTGCAACCCACCCGGTGCCAGAAGCAATGGGACTCCAATCCCTGCTTTAGCAGAGGCAGCTGCTTGGGAAGTTTCTCCTCTTGAGGGGTGTGGCAGGTGTTGTCTGTCTCCCTACTGTCTGCACTTGTGTGGGAAGGCGGACTCATGACCTGATCAGAGACCTTTCTTCCCTGCTCTGTGAGTGGTCCTGGCAGACAGCTGCCAGGAGAGGCCACGTCCAGCTCCCACTCACCCGCCGGGTCCTCTCCACGTCACCACATGGCAGCCGCTTCACAAAGTCAATGCCCGTCAGTGGCGTGCCCGTGGGGGGCAGCAGAATGGAGACGTCCATCATGAGATACTCCACGTTCATGGGCTTCATCTGGAAGAGAGACATCAGAGAGACCTCACTGGAAGGAGAAGGGGGCAGGGCAGGTCACACAGGTAGTTCGGCACATGAACCCGGGATTAAGACTGAGGGGAAGCCTGGAGGCAGGCAGATGTGTAAGATGGGCCTTTTTTTGGTTTCTAAGGTACAGATTTTCCCTTTGTTGGAAGTGACAGCTCTGACACTCTTGAGAAATGGCCTCCCTGCTCATCCTCACTCCCCTCCACCCAGCAGGGAGGGGGTCCTTAGGAAGGAGGCTGGTCCTGTTACTGTGGTCCCTTCAGGGTGGTCAGCCCCACGTGGATGTGCCTGACTGCTGCCCACCTCCTCTTCTTGGTACTTCCAGCTGAAGACACGGTTATAGTGACGGCAGCTTGCATTTAAGGAGAGCTGACTAGGGGGCAGGCGACAAGCTAAAGGCTTTGCATGTAGGATCCTGTTTAACCCTCCCCAACAGCTGCAGAGGGAATGTTCCCCAATCTTCGAATGAGAAAAAAGACTCAGAGAAGCTGAGGAATGGATCTGGCCCCCTCAGTGGGCTGGTGGCAGAACCAAGACACAAACCCAGGCTTACCTGGCTCTAGCCCTCCTATGATTTGCACCACACGACCAACATCTCCTCTACCTTCCTTGCCCCCTTAGCATCTTACTTGGGATAATATAACAAAGCCACTTATTGAGCATCTACTAAGTGGCAGGCACCACAGGGCTCACCTCCTACTGGATGGTGGGTGCTGGTGCTGTCCCACATCACAGAGGGGAATACTGAGCTCAGAGGAAGGGCAGATGTCCATAGCCACTGGGCCAGTCAGGCGCGGAGCTGTCTCCTCCTTCCACACCACCTCCACAGGCCTTCTCTGATTACTAAGACACTGTAACCTCCCCTCTCCTCCTGAACTGTTGCATCAGTACTGACCATTTACTGTACACATGTTGGACACTGACACCTCATTTATACCTGGCATCATAAAGGAACGACTTTCACCAAGGTGAATTTTCTATAGAATTCATTGTACTCCTTAAAGCATCACAAGCTTATTTCTGTGTCTTTTAGAATGTGGGCTTCAGTCACAGTTTTTGTCCCTCCTAACCAAAGCTAACCAAGCAGGGCAGGGTTGTGGGGAGGGCCCAGCTGTCTGGAAACCTGGTGCATGGGCCGGGGAGCCACTTGGTGCATGCTGCCTGCCTTTTTCTTTTGGACACTTTAAACACTTAGGCTTATTATAAACTTCCCGAATCACTTCACTCTTTGTGGAGTGATTTCCATGAAAAAGATCATTTATCATCTATTTATTGAGTGTCAACTAAGGGGCAGGTGCTGGGGATGCAGAGACCAAGGAGCAACACAGAGAAAGCTGCAATCCTCTAAACCGATCTTTTCCCACAATTCTGCCTGCTAGATGCAAAAAAGGGAAAGCTTTAGACTGGCACTGCAACTCAAGGAACATTTCAGAACATTCCGGTGGCATGGCAAAGACGGAGGTGGCATAATATAGAGAGAAGGACCAGAAGGCGAGCTGCTCTGCCTCTCTCTGGCTGGCACATGTGGGCACCTCACTCAAGCTGACTCTCCTTTCCTTATCAGTAAAAGGAGGCTAATGATAGGAGCTACTCCACTGGGTTGGCATGGGGATGAGAGGTTTAACATGGATCACAGGCTTTCCACACCTGACATAGATTAAGTCCTTAATCAAATATTATTCATATCAAAGTGAATCTTTCTGACTTGTCTTAGGACACAGCCCAGCTCAGGGGGAGTGAATGTCATCTGAAATTTCCGAAGTGGTGGGGACCACCATTTCCAGTTTACCTCCCTACCAATCTCTGCAATCTGAGCAGAAAGCCCCAAGTCAGTGCCCTCTCCTCTGTCTCTCTCCCTCTCTCTCGGTTTGGCTGGGCAAGCTTTGCGGGAACACAGATGCTTCTGGCCCTTCACTTACTGTCATGCTCCTGTACTCATCTTCAAACATGTCCAAAAAAATTTCTTCTCCCTAGAAGGGAGGGAAGAGAAAATTATGCATATTTCCCCCTATAAACAACAAAGCATTATGAACTTTAGTTCATGGCTTCTGGGACCATCTGTTTCTCATTAGAGAGTTCTCGTAAATCACCAGGAAGTAAAATGCACACGTGAACATGAACACATGCTCCAACGAAAGCCCAGATATCAAATTGCACCTCTCAACAGTTCTCTCCCTTGCTTAAGCATATGTAGCTAGATTTATTCTGTCAAGGCAGTTAGTTAAAAATACAAACCAAAAAAACACCATAGATAATTAAAATATTAAAATGGTTAACATTTCAAGTGTTTATCATCCTCTATTTGCCGAGCATGGTTGAGGAATGGGGAACCCTGGTTAACTTGCCATGTTAAAACTATGAGGCTCCACATCTCTGAAAGGAAGAGTATAATTAAACATGCTTAGCACTAAAATTATAGGCCTGCTCCATTTGTTTTTGAGCCATGCCTTTGAGGTTCTGTAGCCTTGAGGACTGTCTAGGACAGTGGTCGGCAAACTGCGGCTCGCAAGCCACATGAGGCTCTTTGGCCCCTTGAGTGTGGCTCTTCCACAAAATACCGACTTCTGCGCATGGGCCACGAAGTTTCAATCGCACTGTACGTGCGGGTGCGCACGTGGTATTTTGTGGAAGAGCCACACTCAAGGGGCCAAAGAGCCGCATGTGGCTCGTGCGCCGCAGTTTGCCTGCCACTGGTCTAGGAGGTCCCTCTCAGAACAGGCTGGTGTATGAACTTGGCTCCAACACATAACCCAGGGGCCAAGTCCCAGCTTCACTTCACCGAGACTCTCTTTGTTTCCCTGAGAGACTGGGATGGCAGCCCCTGTCTGTGTGGGTCTTTGTGAAGATGAAATGAGTAAGCACACAGAAAAGGCTGAGCACAGAGCCTGCCAATATGGGAAAGGCAATAGGTCCTTTATATATTTTTCCAGTTATCAGATCTACAGATAACTTTGAATATTCTTGTGTGGTGTAAATACCAGGTAATAACCACAGAAATAAAAGCCCCTGAAAACCCAAAAGCTTCTGAGATATTATACTTAGGATGAAAGAGAAAACTGGGGTGGGAGAAGGGAGCTACAATTCAAATACAGCAAGTCCTCAATGTTGTCGATAGGTTCTAGGAAACTGACTTTCAGTGAGATGACATAAAATGAAATCGATTTTACTAAAGGTCAATTGATATAAACAAGAGTTAAGTTCTTATAGCATATCTCTGGTCACTGAAACATCACAAATTTCTAAATAAAAACCCAAAACACTTCTAATATTAAACATTTAAGAAACATTAATAAAAACCAGGCAGATCATTCTTTTCTAACCCACTTATTCTAGGTCAGGGTCACAGGTGGCTGGAGCCTGCCCTGGCAGTTCAGGTACAGAACGCCCTTCCCAGGCCACTCACACAGCCACACACAGTCAGACTGGGACAGTGCAGACACTAATTCTCCCCACATGCACATCTCTGAGATGTGGGAGAAAGTGGAGTCCCTAGAGAAAACCTCTGCAGACACGTGGAGAACATGCAAACTCCACAGGTGGCCCAGGCTGGGAATCCATTTCTTCCCCTCAACATTATAAAAAAGTGACACTGATGCCCTAACCAGTTTGGCTCAGTGGATAGAGCGTCAGCCTGCGGACTCAAGGGTCCCAGGTTCGATTCCGGTCAAGGGCATGTACCTTGGTTGCGGGCACATCCCCAGTAGGGGGTGTGCAGGAGGCAGCTGATCAATGTTTCTAACTCTCTATCCCTCTCCCTTCCTCTCTGTAAAAAATCAATAAAATATATTTTTTTAAAAAGTGACATTGAACAAAATGTTATGAGAGAACCTGCTGTATAAGCTCTCCTTTTGTTACAGGATTCCAGAGCAGCAGGAATAGGGAAACTGAGACAGGAAAATTAAAACAAGGCCAAATGGTGTTGACAAATTGCAGCCAGCTTCTAAGTAATAAGTCATTATCTTTCCCAGCCAAGGACACTTGAGAGCAAATGGTTAAAAACCTCCCTAACAAGAGGTGGAGGAAGGAGGGGGAAAGGGGAAAGGAAAAAAAGGGCCTCAGAGTTTTATTCCCTAAGCAGAAAAGCTAGCAGTCTTGAAGCTTGGCGGAGATAAAGTTGCCAGGTGCTTCTCAAGAATTCTGGGAAGGTCACAACAAAGTAAAAAGGGACCTTGAGAATTAATCTGTACCAAAATATTCAGCTAAGAAATTTTGAAGCCTATAGACAAGAGGGTGTGTAATGCCTTGGACCCCCACCCAACTCGCTCTTCAGATTAGCTGAGAGCCCATCTGTGCATGTTAGGCCGGAAGATAGACTTGCTTGCCATGCTTTAATAAATTTGCTTGCTTTAATAAATTGGCTTTATCACAACACAGTCAAGGTCTCTTGTATAAATTCATTTATATCAGACGACAAGGATTGAGGTTGGAAACAGCCCTCCCCTCAGGGGGCTGTCTGGTAACACCTCTTTGTTGTCAGTGAGAGTGTCGGCCGGTGGACTGAGGGGTCCCGGGTTCAATTCTGGTCAAGGGCACATGCCTAGGTTGTGGGCTCCATCCCCAGTGGGGGGCATGCAGGAGGCAGCCAATCGATGATTTTCTCTGTCTCTCTCTCCCTCTCCCTTCCTCTTTGAAATCAAAAGAAACACATCTTTTTAAAAGTTGATATGTAAGTTTTAAAAAAAGAGTATCCTGCAAAGAAAAAGACTTCTTGCATATATGTATATAATCCACAGAAGTTTAGAGAGAATACAAAAAATGAAGCACAGAGGAACATGAAACAGCAGTACTGACACCATCTCCTAAGAGGATCTCTTCATCGGTTAAATTACTGGGGGAACCATCACTAACCGGATCTGGAGAGATCTGATATGGAGGCCAAAAATCAGAAATCTACTAGACAGTTTGACATATGGATTAATCCACTTTTGCTGACAAATGATAAGCTTTTCCAAGTAATATACTGTGCCTTAAGAGAAGAGTTAATAAAAACCATCACAATGAGATATTTAAAAAGTAACCACCTAGAACCTAAACACAAATCTTCAAATTTTTCAGATACTGTAATGTCATGATGGTCCTTGACAAAAATCTCACTAAACTTCATGACAAATGTTTGGAAGCCTGTATGAGGTTTCTTAGCATAAATGTATATAAATAATATATATGTATATAATTCATAAGTTCATATGTAATTCACAAGTAATTTTATATGTATAAGCAAATATAATTCATGAACATATAAATTCATATATATAATTTAGTCATGTGTGCATGTATAGATATAATTCATAATTTACATATGAATCCATCCATAAACAAATTCATATTGAGTTGATAAACAAATTGTCACATACTAGGGGTGAGTCTTCGAAAGTTGTACTGATAAGAGGGCATGGGCAGAAAAGTTGAGAGACCACTGCTCTGGAGATTATGAAATTGAGCATTTTGACTCAGAACCACAGGTAGCAAAACAACTGAAGACATGCAACCTTTGTGTGTACAGGGCAGACTCCACAATCCTGTTTATACACCGCAACCACCCTGCCGAGCCCCGTGCGCTGCCAGTTTACCTTATAAAAGTGCCGCAGTAGGTGAACGCTTTCTTCTCTCGCACCCTGTAAAGAGGGAAGATGCGGAGGCAGGTGTCATGGAGGCAAGCGAATTGGGTAAATTACTGACTCTAAAATCTGAGTGGATACAGACAGATATGGGGCAAATATCCTTAATCTATAAGTGGTTTTTAATGAGAAAAGGTGAAAGAGAAAGAGAGCTCAAAATTAGAAATGAGCAAAGGATAGGTGATTCATTGTGACATGTAAAGCTGTTAATATACAGCTAAGTGGGGGGAAATGGGTTATAAAATATGGTCATGACTCTTTTTATTTTTTAAAATCTGTGTGAATGTAGGTGTGTATCTAGAAAGACACACACACCAAAATGTCAACTATAGTTACTGTTAACAACTGTACTTTCTAAATTTCTAAAATAAACATGGAAAATAAAGGGAAAACCATATAAGCTATTTAAAACAATAGAGATATTAGCTCAATAAACTATAAACAAATGTATGTATATGTTCATATATGTATAAAACCTTTGTAATATGAAAAGAAGAATTTCTAAATCCTGGAGCCCAATAAGAGCCAAATAATTATAACAGAAACTACTAAAATTCACATCAAGCCAATCCCAGAGGAAGGGAAGTTCTGTGGGAACAGGGCTGCAGTAGGGCATCAGTGCTACTGGGCCCAGCTGCTTGCTGGTGCTGTGGCCACCACGGACCAGAGCTCCCTCTCACTCTCCAGGTGGCAGTGGCTCACGGGCACTGCGGGTAGGGAGGTCCCTTACCTCCAGACAGGCCAGGTGCACGTCCTTTATGATGCAGCCCGTGCTGGTCACAACTTGCTGCTTTAGGAGCAGGCAGCTCAGCTCCAGTGTCGTCAACCGGATCTTCCCATCTGCAGAGCACACCGGTGTCAGCGTCGCACACCCAGGGCTACATGCCCTTAATCACAACTTCTTGCCTTCCAGCTTTGAGGTTAACAGGTCAGCTGATCAGCTGACTGCTCACGGCCCCTGGCATCCAGTGGGGACGACCCTTGCCAACCCTTTTCCCAATCAATTATAATTAAATGTTCCCAGTAAAACTGCTTAGACCTAATATTCCCCTTTAGTCTCTTCATCGGGAGAGGGGATGCAGGAAAAAGAAGGCACTAATTAATCAGTACTGAAGGTCTAGGACAGCCGTGGGCAAACTACGGCCCGCGGGCCGGATCCGGCCCATTTGAAATGAATAAAACTAAAAAAAAAAAGACCGTACCCTTTTATGTAATGATATTTACTTTGAATTTATATTAGTTCACACAAACACTCCATCCATGCTTTTGTTCCGGCCCTCCGGTCCAGTTTAAGAACCCATTGTGGCCCACCCCTGGTCTAGGAAGTGGCCTCTGTGCTTACTTTGCTTGTCCAGCATTCCTTCCTTTTCTTCAGGAATGAGCACCCCCACTTTCCTTTGGAAAGCACCAGCCCCACTATTGTACATGTGATTTGGGTGGAGCTGGTCCCACTTCTGCCATCTTAGGGGTGGGCACATCACCCAGGCTGGTCAGGGTGCTCTATCCTGGGTCAGAGTAACTGGGTAGGGAATGGGCAAGGGGGCCAGTCAGAGCTAGTAAGGCTCAATTCCACAACTTGCTGGAACCATTTGGGCACAGAGAGGACAGGAACAGTGGTGTGGCCCTGAGTGGCACAAGCATTTTAATCTACAGTGGCCACTTCCCCATTCTTACCAGTGTTTGCAATTTTTGGTAAAGTGTTCTGCAAATTGAGTCCCAAGCCCCCCTTTCCACCAGATTACCCAGTGCCTCTCCTAGAGCATGTCTAAGGCCCCAGCAGCGAAAGGGGTGGCTGAAGCTGCTGGCAGTTATCTTGCCAACACAGAAGCTGCAGAGGCCAAAGGCTGCCTTCAAAACAGTGCTTGAGCCCCTGGATCCAGCTGTGCCTAAAGCCAGTGCCCAACACACTTGAAGTTACATAAGCCAACAGTTTTTTTTGTTTCTGTTTGTATTGTTTCAGCCAGTCTGAGTTGGGTTTGTATCAACAGGGACCAGGAGGGCCACTAGGAAAAATCAATGCAAATACACACGGCATACCTCCCTGCCCATCCTTTGATGCCTCATGTCAGATGGGAAACAGATGAGAAGAGGGCATTGTCTGCACAAAAATGAACAGCCTATATGCAAGCAGAAACAGGCCTTCCTAAGCATGATACAAGCCCAGGGCTGTGTGGGAAAAGGCTGGTAGTCTCAGCTTAGTCATTCTCCCTGCCGCAGCCCCACCGGCCCAGAACTAGCCCCACTTCTGTGCTGCTTCCCTGCCCACATGGCACCCCCCATCTGTCTTCCTCAGATTTCAGTAGCTTCTCCGGAGCCCAGTGTCATTCCTGCCTGCCCCTCCACTGAGCCGCACAGTTGGCCAGGTCAGAAACACCCCTTCTGCTGCCTCCAGGGAAATGGAATGGGATTTTCCACCAAGACCCTTCTCCCTTTGCAAGCTCCTGCCACAATGAGCTGACTTCTTCCCACTGGGCTCGTCTCATGAGGGAAACAGAGGGAGTTTACTGATCCCCTGTTGACACTCTTGGGGCCACGGACTTGGCTCTCCAAGACCTGCACTCCCTCCCGGGGCACTCCTCTGTGCTTCTGCCACTAGTTGGAGCCACTCCCCTTTATTCCTGAAGTTTTTGTCTGCGATCACAACCCCCTCCCCGGCCGTTTTCCTGAACCTGACCTGGGCCCACTCCCTGGATTGCTCCTCATGGCTTAGCTCAGCAGTTCTCTCATTTGGGCCACATCACAGTTAAACCCCTTCCCATGCACTCACTCCAACCTGCTAGCCTCTCTGCCTTTGCAGAGAATCTGCCTTGCAATCAGGGTTTCCCAGCCTTGGCACTGTTGGCATGTTGGGTCAGACAATCTTTTGTGTGGGGCTGTCCTGTGCATTGTAGCATGTTTAGCAGCATCCCTGGCCTCTCCCACTCCATGCCAGTTGCACCACCTTCTCAAGCTGTGACAACCAAAATTGTCTCCGGGCTCTGCCAAATGTCCCTTGGGAGGCAAGGTGGTCCTGTTGAGAATCATTGTGCTAGATCATTCTGCCTGCTATTTGTAGCCCTTCTGTGGCAGGTCAGTGTTGACTAAAATCCAGAACCAGGCTGACAAGACCAGACACTGGGCACATCTTGTATTATCAAAAGCATCCGACCCAAATCTTTTTCCCACTCATTCATACTCTCAGCCTTAGTTCAAGCTCAAACACGGCCTTGGGCTACCCCAAGATGAGGGCTGCAGACGTTGGCAAAACTGGCCAAAGAAGGGTGCGAAAGGAGACAGAAAACAGGGTCTGGCGCAAACACCATGGTGGGAGAGAAAGAGAGGAGACCCAGAGATGGAGGGTACGGGTGGCCCAGTCATGGATGTGCATGCCAGAGGGAGTGGTCGAGATCTGCCTGGATCACCAGAAGGGCCAGGTGGGGAGGCCTGATCCCTCTAACTCCGCCACCCCTGTGAAGAGCCAACATGCTCCAGGCACCTGGCTGGGCAGCGCTGTTCATGATCCTGATGAGTCTTTCAGCCAGTAGGTGGTTGTAGACGGTCTTCTCAGCAGCACTGGGCTCTGGGAGCTGGATTCGCTCTAGTTTTTCAGGTTCCATGCCTGGAATGGAGAAAGGAACAAGTTGTAAGTGGAGCCACATGATCGCAAGCCCTCTGCATCCTAAAAGGCCTTTAGAGCAGGGCTTCCCCACCCTTGGCCATCCATGGTGCATCCTCATGATTTCTGCCATGGCTGTGTGCTGTCCATACTATAACTTACCTTCGAATTTTCTGTAAATGGAACTTAGGTAAATATTAAAACACTAGAGGCCCGGCGCATGAAATTCGTGCATGGGTACGGTCCTTAGGCCTGGCCTGCGATCAGGGCCATCTTCCCCGCCTGCCGGCAGTTGGCCCTACCCCTCAACGCCACCCACCCCGGTTCCCTGTTCCCCATCAGGAGATCGGAGTCTGCCAGGCTAGGGGAAGGGACTGAGAGGTTGGCCAGCAGGCCCCTATTGTGGCCTGCGGGCAGCTCCTGTGTTGAGCATCTGCCCCCTGGTGGTCAGTGCACGTCATAGCGACCGGTCATTCTGCTGTTCGGTCAATTTGCATATTACTCTTTTATTATATAGGACTAGAGGCCCAGTGCATGAAATTCATGCACGGGTAGGTTCCCTAGGCCTGGCCTGTGATCAGGGCCGATCAGGGCCTTCCGGCTGCCGGCCGAGGCCTTCTTTTGTTCCACGCCGCCCCCTGGTGGCCAGTGCATGTCATAGCGAGTGATCGGTCTCTTGGTCGAACTTCCATGGGGACAATTTGCACATTAGACTTTTATATAGAGAGATATGTTTCCTACCCAGTCCCTCAGTGGTTGAGCGTTGACCTATGAGCCAGGAATTCAGTTCAATTCCTGGTCAGGGCACATGCCCGGGTTGCTGCCAGATCCCCAGTATGGGGCATGCAGGTGGCAGCCGATCAATGATTCTCTCTCATCATTGATGTTTCTCTCTCTCTCCCCCTCTCCCTTCCTCTCTGAAATTAATAAAATGATATGTATATGTAAAAGCAAATTTACCTTCAAAAAAATAAAACATACATTTTCTATCACTATATGTCAATAGGAAATCAGATTGCTGCAATATTGACAGTAACTATAACAACAACAAAATAAAAAATAAAATGTTTTTACATTTTAACCAAAGACCGCTGACTGGTTACTTGTGGCCTGAGGCCTACTCTGTCTGTTAAACAGGGAGCTTGGCGGGTGCTTAAAAGGTATTGAAGACACTAGCCCCAATTGGTAACACACTTCTGGATGAAATCAGAGGGAATGGAAATGGAATGGAAAAAGGAGTAACTTTCACACGGTGTGCTTCACTGCCATTTTGTGCCAGGTCTGGGTGCCACTCCTGTAGGAGACACAAGCCACAGTGGGGGACACAGACCTAGAGAAACAGAGACCAGACAGAAAGGAAAGGACAGTCATACCCAACAATCACACCTCAAGCTCTTAACACCGAACTCAAAAGAGCTGGGCCCACCACTCAACACATGTACCCACAGGCTGTAGCAGCAGGCGCCATACTGGGCCAGGGGGTGGCATTGCAGAAAGAGACTAGGCTAGACCTTATGACAGAAAGGTACACATACCATGAAATCCATGGAGTGGCTCTGTCTTTAAGAGGCAAAGGAATGATGTTTTCTCCAGTGCAAACTAACAGCTTTGAAAAGACAAAAGACAAGACCGGAGAGGTGGAGGAGGGAGGAGCACGCAGTCTAATTGTGAATAGAGTGACATTTTCCCTAAAGCAGACCAGAAGCTGGGCGACAGGAAGACCTGTTAGGGCTACTTCAACAGGCCAAATGTGGGATGAGAGGCATTCCAAGTCCTTATCCTCTCATCTAAGAAAGCTCTGGAAAACACACTTACAGAAACAAACATTTCTCCTGATCCAAGCCTGGAGAGCTGAACAGATTGTTTGTGCTCCAAGCACGTCTCTTCCTGTTACTCTACAAAAGGGGGGAAGGTGGCACTTCTGGGAACTCTTGAAATACAGTCCCTTGAGTACTAGATGACGCTTCATTTAGAACCTTGACAAAATAGTAGAGGATAGCATTGAAGAGCTGATTGTCTGGATTCGAAGTAACTCCCCCCGCACACATTGACGTAAGAAACCATAACAATATATCTTGTTTTATTGAGTTCCTTCCAGCTCTGAACCAGAGGCTAAGTCATGCCAAGGAGATGACACGGGTGAGGGACGGCTGGAGGGCTTGAGTTGGGTAGATCTCTCTCTCACGCCCCATCACCATGGCTTCTGTCAAAAAATCTGATTGCAATGAAAATTTAATTTGTGGATTCTATATCCCATTTTGATGTGAAATGTCTAACTCCGAAGCATTCTGGTTTATTAAATGGCACGAATGTCAACTAAATCTTTTTGGCATTTGTTTTTTTCCAGAGATGTCAACACCGTCTTAACATCTCTCTATCTTTTCATTTCTGGCCCTTTTGGGAACTGTCAGTCAGTGGTTCTGGGAAAAAATGGCTCTTCGGCCTGCCCAGAGCATCACCTAACTTTATGACCGAACCATCTATCATCCCACTTAAACGAAGCCCTGCTGCTGGCTCCCTCGGGATTGTGGTGGTGGCCAGCAAAAGCAGGGAGAGATGACTCAGACCAGGGTTTGAATTTCTATGGTGAGCTCCATTTTGTCTCTTTCCTATTATTGCCCCTGATTTCTTAGAACTTGTCAAAAATGATAAAAATCTGTGGCAAAATCTTCTCTCGACAGGAAGAGAAACACTCCAAGATTATTCTGACTTTCCTCAACCGGCAGCTCTGTGAAGGGGACAGGGGACAGGGGACCCCAGGGGACTTGAAACCCTTTCAAACTTCACAGGGCCAGGTTCTAGTGTAACCTCTTCCTCTAGTGAGGAAATTAAGGACAAGAGATGTTATGTCACATCCCCCAAGGTCACAGAGCAAATTAGAGGCAGGGTGAGATTACACAGTTAGAACCAGGGTGAGATTACAAAGGTGGACAGGATGCAGATGGGGAGTTCAGACTCCCAGCAGACCACTACCTGCACGGTGAGCCAACCACAGCAAGCGGTGCGTAAGGCCTTCCTTCTCTGCCATCACCTCGAAGGCCTCACAGTATCCTGGGGCTCAGTCTCCCCAGAGTACCTTCCACACTGTGGTCAGGTAGAGGTGGAGAGCACTGTGTTCAGGTTGCAGAAGGAATTTTGTTTTGATACTTAACCTCTCCAACCCCCCTGTGCAATGGGGTAATTACAGTAACCCCGTCCCAGGGCTGTTGTCAGCATTCAGTCACAAGTATGTAGTCATGGTTCAATAACTACAGCCTGTCATTACCATGCACTGATGGGAACTTTTACTTTGAGCATGGCTGAATGTATTTCTGCATCGTTTGTATTCCAAGAGGAAAGAAAGAATAAAAGAACAAAAGGACAAAAAGGAAAACCGGCTAACAAAAGCTAAAAATCAAGCTAGAAGAAGGCATGCTATGCTGTGTGAGGATCAGCTCAGGGGATGAGCTGCTCAGGTTGGATTCACCTTGAGCTGCACATGGAAAGCCAGAACTTGCCAGGCCAAGAGGATTGTGCAGAGCTGTGGTAGAGCTTGGGGAGGGTGGGATGAAGCTTTGGGAGGAAGTGAGGCAGATGTTGTGGGGGAGGGGGACGACAGGCAAGGCTTCAATGCCAGAATTCCTGGAGGGCAGGAGGGCAGCTAGGGAGTGACATGATCTGACTGTGCTCTCGTTGACTTTGAAAGGTCTCTATTACCTCAACCATTCAAGCATTTTCCTCCAAACAGACCTGGTATTGTAACACATTCTATGTGAGGTGGATTTTATCACCAGCCATGGGGAAACAGGAGGATACACCACATGGCAAAATTCTGTCTAAAAAAACTGTTTTAAAGATCTCCATTCTTTCTCCTCCTGGGCCAGGTATCTCATTTCTTTCCCCGTCTCTCTCTCCACCATGGCCTCTAAAACCCCTCTGGCTACTCTGATTATCCCACCCTAGCTAGCAACTGGCTTTCAAGGCCTGCGCAGCAATTCAAAAGCTCCACACATTTTTCTGGGTCCAAACAAATTGACAGCTGACAGTCTTCACTGTGAACGCCTTATCTCCTTATCTCCTCCACGACTGTCCCCTCCTCTGAACTGAAAACTGCTCTGACCTCGCCCTATCCCCCTCCACCCTTCCCAAAGGAAAAATGCGGCAGTTTTAAAATCCAAGCGGCTAGAGGCCTGGGAACAGGCTGCGCGACCTGCTCCCTCCCTCCCCGCCTTTTCTCCAGCCTCCAGGTCCCTGGCTTCCACTGCTCCGTCCCTTCCCTTTTCCCTTGGATAACAGCGCATTCTAACATTCCTCCCACTTTCACTGCAATACCTACCTCTCTCAGGCTCACCGAGTGCCTCCCACCATCCCCGAAGAAGATTCGGCGACACCATCCAGGACCTGATGACCCATCATTCCTCACAGGCTCTTACCTGGCAAGGGACCCTCCAATTTTGCTCAGGTTTTTCATATTTTCAGGGGAAACAGATACGGAATGATGAGGGAGTCATCAATTCTACTGTCTGGGATGGGAAATCCTCTAGTGTCACTCTCTATTTACGAACCCTGGATCTACTCCTATGCCCACCCTCATCAACACAACTTTCCATCTACTCTCTAACATCAATCCCTCCTCCTCTACATCCTGCTGGATTTGTCTGTCACTGGCTCGAACTCTCATCATAGCCACCCAATTCCAACCTATTAGACCGTCTAACTAAACACTCTCTAGAAATTCGCAGCTCCTGGCCGGACCTCCTGCCCATGGCCCCGACCAGAAATCCGGGCTACACCAAGGAGCCCCACTTTCTTGAGCCCTTTTGACCCTTCTTGCTCAACCACCGTCTCCTTACTGATCCTCCTCCCCTGGGTATGTATCTCCCATATCTGTCTTTAATCAGGCAATTGCTCCGAGAACACGAGAACAGGTTTCTGCCCAAGCCAGAGCAGACCGACCAGGACTCCCAGGACCAGCCCTTCACCCTGGTGAACTCTGGTCCTCCTTAAGAACCTTCATCCACAAG